ACAAATTATTTAAAGTCAAGCTAAAAAATACACTGCAGTCCTGCCACTACCTATAACTGTTGTTTATCTTACAATAACAGCAGCATTCTCTAATGAGGTTTATAAAACTAAGCTAAGCTGCTCTAAATTTGTAAGAAAAAATATTTCTCTATTTCCGATAAGTAACCATTTTTGATGCAACAGTGATATTTACTTTGGAGAAATTAGTGCTAATAAATGAGAACTAATTCAGGACACTGTGTTTGAGGTGCTGTCTTTTTATGTACATTGCTAAAGCTAAAATAATATTTGTTCAAGTGTTATTAGAGTTGATGCTAACCAAATGCAAATATTCACAACACAGAGTTTCTGAAATTACTGAAGATTTAAGGTACTTCCTTAAATACAAGCATAAATCTCATTTTTATTTTTATATCCTTTAAATTAAGTAGTTTAGGAAGCGAAGTTATTAATTCAATAAAAAGGTGACTGCCTCTCTGTTTTTTTTAGAAATTATTTTAGAGAAGCTTCACCTGTTCTGCTCTCAGCATTGAGTAATGGTAAGTCAAATACACCACAGAGTAGAAAAGTTTATACAGTAGACCAGTAGCTATCGATATAGTTTTACTTCAGCATTCTGAGTCTGTTCTCTCTTTTCTGAAATAGAGAAATACAGTAAGAGTTTGCCCTTTGGTTTTTATAGTTTTGCCTTCATTGTGAGAATGTTGTTGCATTTAGCTCAAGTTTACTTAAAATTAGCTTGTCCTGCCTGAACTGAAATTTGACCATTTTGTCTAAAGCTGTTGTAGGCTGATAACTTGAATAAATACATCAATACACAAAATATATGGCTGTTTGCAGAAGGCTTGGAGCTTTCCCTGATATCCTGGGCTGATTTGCTGGCTGCTTTCCCCCTGTTACCCAGCCATGGTGTGTTCTGGCCATCCAGCACTGAACCCCCAGGTTCCTGCAACTGAGCTGGGTTTTACAGGCCAGCCTTGGCCCTGTGCTGCTATTTCACAACTGATTCATTCTTGGCACAATTGTAGTGTGCACAAACAATTGTTTGGTCACAAAAGATTTTGAAAACAATCTACATTATAGTCTGAATTTATGCAAGCATATTATCCTGCAGCTGAATTTAGAGGAAAAAACCACTCACTTTTACAGTATGAGCTAATGTTTGTTATCATTAGTGCTCAATCTAATAGCGACAATTTACAGCTGACAGAAGTCCAGTGGAAACAAGATCAATTTGAGATCTGAACCTCGGGTGATCTGTGTGGTAATGGTGTACTGATGCCAGAAGATTCTCACTTGGCTGTGTGTTACATGCTCTTTGCAGAACTATCAATGACCACAGAGCATGTTAAATACTGGTCACTTAGGCTCTGAAATGCAGTTCTCTTCACTAAACTGCCTTCAGGTTTTTAAAAATCCTTGAGGTGTGTATAAATGTCCCTTTTGAAGACTCCAAAAGTGACCTGCTCCATGAACTGGTTCTTGGCAGCACTAGCACCAGTGCATGGTTGAATAAGAAGAAAACACTGATCCAGAAGAATGCACTTACAACAGGCACTGCAGAATCACCTGACTCCCTCCTGGTCAGTGTTAAATGTGAAATTTATCACCAGATTATGATTCACTGTGTGTAGTATTACAAAAGTTTTGCTAATAAACAGTGCTAATAATTTATTTGCAAAAGAGAATGCAATGCTGCTCTGTTTTACATGTGTGGGCTGGTATTAAAATAGGACAAGTGCTAGCAGGTTTTGCTTAGTTTCCTGGAAACATTTATACTAAGGGACTATAATAAGATGAAATTCCCCCTATTGACACCAATGTTTAAATCTGTAAAGATCAGAGTTTCTGCAGTATGTAATTTCCAAACAAGTTGAAAGTGTGTGGCAGATCTGGGATAGCAGTGGGGATGCAATTGAAGAGAAACCTCTTTGTGCCAGGCAGAAATCCAGGTTTTTAATATGACAGCATATGACAGAACTTAAGCTGTCACTAAGTGTGCTAATCTGGTACCTGTACTGTCTGTATGAATTGTTGTCTAATAAACAATTCTCAGAGTGTGGTTACAGATTTGTTTTCACAGTGCTGCATGAACATTAAATTTACAACTTCCTGCAGCATAGAATCGTTACAATTGAAAAAGATCTTCAGCCGTGACAAATCATTACATGGAGAAAAAAGAAAAGCAAAAAATAAGTGATATTTTCAGTTACTGAAAGTTATTACTGAAGAAGTTACTGGCTTATGTGCTCAGCATTGTCATTTACTTATTCAAACACTTGTCTGCTTTGAAAACAGTCTGTGGCGGTGCTTTGAAGAGGAAAAGTCATCAGAGTAAGATTACAGAAGTTAATTTTCTCTTTCCTGTCTGTGTAACAACTTGCTTTTAAAGCATATACGTCCATAATGATGTAGTCTCATGATGTATTCGAAAAAGCCAGTAAGAGTTTAACTTTCAAATATTTAGTGTAGTTAAATCACCACAGGAAAAACTATGAATCCCTGTGTCATCATTTTAAAAGTTAGGAATGGTTTTATTAATATTGCCTATGCAAATTGCTTTGTTGCCAAGAAGTTCTTTAGGAAGGTGTAGGCACAAAGGCTGGGGATGGAAATGCAGGTTCAGGCAGTCGTTCTTTAGAAATGGTGCAAATCATCTCCTTGGACAATGTGGTTATTCCTGCTGAACTTGATCCTGCATCTACATGAATACAGGATCTATCAGGGGCCACAACATACACTTTTACAGAGCTGTTATCATGGAATCACTAAGGTTGGAAAAGACTCCCAAGATCATCAAGCCCAACCTTACGCTTTGTATGTGTGTAACAATAACTCCCCCTTCTCACACCAATTAAACAAATTTCTTAGAAAAACTACAGCTTTACATGGTAAGCGAAAAAGTATTTTCACCTACGGTTAAGAGTAAGCCTGATTGTTGTCTGATTCCAGTTGTCATTAGGGAAAACCAAGCATCCATTTTTATCTAGTCATAGTTATTATTTAACATGTATTTTCTTTATATTTAAAATATTCCTTTTTTTTTTTTTCCCTGTTGTTTTGAGTTTAATTACATCCAACTATCTACTGATTATAGATTGGAAATGTGCAAAAATAGGGTGGAAAATTTAAATCCAATTATACTCCAAAGAAAGTTTCTGCTTTGCAAAGAGGGTCATTTTAACTAAATACAGCTGTGAGGCTGGAGGTCATAACAGATGAGGATTTAATTCTTTTAAATTAGACATTAAAGGATAATGAAAACCTATGAGTCACTTTTCCTTAACTTTATTCCCAGTGGCTACATTTCTGACAATAGTGGTGTGCAAATATAGGCCTGCTAGTGTGTGCACAGAAATGAACACAGACCTCAGGCTGAAATCACAATGAAAATCAATTTTGCTGTTCAGGATTTATAAAAGATCCCTACTTATGGCTACAAACTGGATAATTTTTTGCTCCTGAAGTTACAATAAATGTATCAAGGTATGTAGAATATAAAGGTATAAAGAAAAGCAAAATATACTAGTAAGTAATAATTTTCTGCCCAAATCCATATTGGTAATCTCTTTTTTTTCTGAGGGGAAAAAAGACTCTATTCCCTACATATTAGAGTTTTATAGCAATTTTCTCACTTGTAATATACGAATTATTAAGAGGGATATCCTCAGTTTAATATGGAAATGGCTTAGGAAATCATTCCTTGGAATTAATCTTGGGGCAAGCTGCAAAACTAATGTTTCATGGCTTTTATAATGTGAGTAACATCCTGTATTTCAGAAGTAAAAGCAATTGATTTCCAGTTTAACTGTCAAATTAAAACTTCTGATTCTTATGAGCAGGGTAATTTATTATAGATCAGCAAATTATAATCTTTCCCAAATATACCAAGTGGTAGACAGGCCATTTTTACAAATGCCCATTACCTTCAAAGGAAATCTAGTGAAGATTACTATTGCTCAAAAATTTGCAGTTTCTAGAATAAAGAAAACCTTCAGCTTGGAATATAGTGCACATTAGCCATGTAAAAGCAGTTCCTGAATGTACTGTCCTAGATCCAGAAGACCTATTTTTGAAAATAGAAGGACTCTTTGCCTGAAAGTATAACCATGAACTCTTGTCCTCTTTTTGAAACCACAGAAAGTTCTCTCCTGAAATAAACCATTAATGAGTGACGTGTATTTTAAATGGAGAGGACTTTGTACTGCAGTTTTTTGGTGCCCTACACCAAAATTCTCAAGCAGGAAACAGTGGCTTCAGTGTTACTGTTGTCCAGACTCAAAGTATATCTAATACCATACTCTTGATTTACTTTTGGGCAAGTATCAAAATTTTGAATAGCAGGCATAAAAAAAAAAAAGGTGCCATTTTTAGCAGAGTGGTTTTGAATCTGAATTCTGAAATGCACAAAGAGAAAAAATCTAGACAGGGAAAAAATGTTATATTTTAACATATAAAAACCTTCTAATCATTTTGAATTCACAGCTGACCTGCTAGAAGGAGAAATGTGGGTTCTGTAACATGGAGTCAGTGTGCTACATTAAGGACATGTTGCTCATAATTTATTGTTCTTAATCACGAAAGGAAACCTCTGAAGGGTTTTAACCTTCTGCAGTTATTTGTGATTAGTAATTAATGTCCTCCAGCTCAGAAGGTACCCAGAGCTGCCAATGTAGTCGATGAATTTACTGTCTCTGCAGTTATAACGTGCTCTGGAATGGCCTCCACAACCCTGGCTGTGTGTGGAGAGCTCCTACAAATAACTCTGAAGTTCATTGTTCATGCAGAGCTCTGGGACCTGTGCAGTGACAAGTCAGGAAAGGAACTGCCCTCAGAAAAGCTCCATCGACTGCCAACAGCTTAGATGTGGGAGAACATCACCATTAGTGACCATAAACCCTAAAATACAACAGTGTGTGGAGAACACGACTGGCAATCAATCATTTAAAACACTTAAAATATAATCTGATGTACTTTTATGTCCCTTATAGATCACTTACTTTGAGAAGTCTGAGAGTTTATAAACTTCTTTATCAAGGCGTCAGTAGTTTGGGTGTAAAGGCTCAGAGCGTACTTGAGGGACTGTAGGTCTGGGCTCTTTTCCAGGAAATTCTTTTTCAGCCCACTCCCTCCAGCATGGAAGTATTGCTAAAATGAAAAACAAATATGGTTGTTCATAGAGGAAAGTTATCTGAGAAAGCCCTCAGTTGCAGACGTACAGTTTTGAGTAAAATTCTTAAATGAACTTTTAGGAATAACAGCGGTCATGTGTAGCTGAATTTATGATTATAGCTTTTGAGGTAACTCTCATCATCTCTGCTACAGAGTTCCCAGGGTAAAAAAAAATAAGTGTTGGGGGAAGAAAAAAAATGTACAAGATTTTAATTTTGGTCCTCCTGATCTGAACTGAAGTATTTCTATGCCAAAACTGGACAAATATTTGCAGCACTCTTTCAGGTTGCAGACAGTGGAATCAGTTTAAATTCTTATCTAAAAAAACCCCAACAAACTTTCAAATCAAGGCATATTTACAAGCACAAGTAGAGAACAAATTGCTTTTGAGGGAAAGGGAAAAAGTTTTAAAAAACTTTGAGACGAACATAGGATGTGAAGTTTTGGATTGGCGTTGCATTGTAATTCTGTCTGAAATTATGATTATGGCAAATTATTAGAAATTCCATGGAAATTTCCATGTTGACAATCTTTTCCAATTCAGATTTTGACCTGTTTCACTACAGATATGCAGAAAATGTGTGTGTCATCCTTGAGGGACCACATTAGGCTTTCCTGGACTGTGAACGGGAGAGGATGGAAGAGAAAAGGAGCTCATTGGTTGAACGTCCTCGAAGGCAATGAGTAAATGTTATCCTTCAGAAGAGGATTCCTTTGGGACAGAGCAGCTGCACCCACAGCTCCCTTTGTGTGCTCCTGGGAATGATGCAGCAGTAAACCAATAAACCAGTGGTGCTTCCTGCAAACCTAAGCTGGGGCACTTCTTCCCTCTGCAAGCAGCTGCACCCGTGTAGAGATCACTGCCAGCTGGTCAGCAAGGCCTGACAAGACAGCCCTGCTCCTTTTGCTGTCCCACTTGTCCCTTGAGTGCTCCCTCCTTCTTGCATAAAAAAATAAAGATAAAATATATGCATTTAAGAGCATAAATACTTAAAAGAGAAGATGACTACTGATCTACTAGATTTGGAACAAAACGTGTTTACCACTTTGATGCCATGCTGACTGTGTAAACTATAGATATATGAAATATATGTAAACTGAATACAAAAACACTTTAATTTCCCTTTTCAGTCCCAAAGCTGACTTCAGAAAACTTGGGACAGATTCTTCTCTTCTTCCTCCCTCAGTGAAGAATTTTTCCTAAGATTTCAGGCAAGACAGTCATTGATGAATTAATGCACTTAAGCTCCAATGAAAAGATAAATGTGCTACATACGTTCATTTTGTTCAAACACCTTGCAAAGCATTTTGCAATCTACATTACAGCTCTAGGTCCCCAGATCAATAAAGCTCTCATTAATGGCTAATTAGTAAAAACAAACAATTTTTTTCAGGAACACACTGAGACTACTTGATGACATGGTGCACTCTGTACAGGGAGTGCTGGGGACTGTGAGCAGAACCTTCTCGCTGCCTTTCTGGAGTGCTGCCAAAGGAATATATGAATATACACCCTCTACATATATATCTCTCCACTAAATGCTGTATCCTAAACTTATCTGCACAGTGCAGACCTACAGTCCCTTTGCATTTAGTGTACACATTCCACCTTCTGATTCTCAAGATTTTGATGGAGAAGAAACATAAATGTACTTTCCATAACAGTTATTATTTACGTTTCTGTGTTGAAGGCTGCTGGTTGTTACAGGGAAAAAAATATCTGTAGGAGCAAAACAGGATTTGAAATCATGAGGCTGCAAAGTTTTCTATTGCTCTGTCACTGCGGGGGCAGTTAGTGTCAGCTTTAATGGTTCTGACTAAATCACCTCTATCTTCTCATCATTGCATACTTACATAAAATTTATATCTTTCCAAGCAAATTATTT